ACATGAATGCATGGCTTATTCTCGTGATCATCTCTCCCCCCCCCCTCTAACTGATCTTGCCCACGGACCTGCAAGGGCGGTTGTAACCAGGTGGTTAGGTCATCAAATTGTGATCCGGAATTCACTGGTTCGAATCGGTCCACCACCGTCTGTCTTCCCTAGTTCTGTAATTCCCCAGGCAGCCTTTGTATGGTCGCAACCCCTTTCCTGAAAGTTGACTGTACATTTGTATATTCAATAAATAAAAATGGAAGTAAAATAAATTTATATTTTTAGGATCTGATGGATCACGCGTCCGAACTCTTTTCTTTTATTCTACTTCCTTTTTTTGAATATCTAGTGATACATTTTTCCGGGAGGAAGAGCGGTCAATCAAAAAGCTATCGCACATCACAGAATATGGAAGAAAATCAAACGATGGTTGTGGGATTCGAACATACGCCCCCGGGGCCTCAAGTTGTTCACCTTTAAAGCTTATCCACTCGTGGAGAATGTTTGGACTAGCCTATTTGGTTTTTCACAGGCACCAGTCACTGTTGATGATGTTCGGCGTGGGTTTCACGCCTTGGGAGATCGTTGATTCCCCACTGTTTGAACGCATTTCAAATGCGATGGAAATGTTTGTGATAACAGATAAAGAGCACTGAACAGCTGTTTCGTCCTGTTTGGGACTCGTCAGCAGTGCGCGTACATTTTGTGTCCCTTTCAGGACTCGAACGACGATCAGTCGGGTCGGGACTTCAAACCATTACCCTTGAGCTACACGGTTGACAGTTACCACCTTGTACGAATGGCTCAATCAATCGTCCGTACAGCTCAGGGGTAAGGGTTTGAAGTCACAGCCCGAAAGTTCGTGGTTCGATTCCTGACAGGGACAAAACGTGCGCACTGCTGATGAGTCCCAAACAAGACGAAACAACTGTCCAGTGCTCTTTGTCGGTAATCACAAACTCATCCACTAATCCCCAACATTCACGTGGGCTTCATTTTTGCTAGCCTTTGTCGTTATTGTTGTCGCTTGTCACTTGTCAGGATTATCTTACTTATTTACCTAGTTCTTTGGTTTTTCATTTTTTCTTTTCATCCGGATTGTCCGACAGTTTGACGTTGGATCTTTCCCCTTGAAAGTTGTATTTCAATACCGTACCTCAGGATAAATCCGTTCCAATATAAGACTCTATCTAGGGGTTTTCGCAAGTTGTTCTCACTCTCTCCTGGTTTTCGGACAGCGTAAAACTAACAATTGTTTTTATTTTGTAATATCCTGAGTTGGAATGTCTTTCGTTGGTATTGTCTAATTTGTGCCTTGTTTGTTCTGTTCTAGCTCACATAAATCCACTCTTCCGATTGATTATGGCTTTAATGGAAAGTGAAAAAAGTACAACGTATAAAGGATCCGTATCACATAATGCCACAGAAAAAAATTTTATTGAGGGCTGAAGGTGTAATAAAACCTTAGAAATGAAGACATTTTTGAGCTTTGACTAACCGTATTATTGCTTTCTAAACCCGAGTGAATGTTAAAGCGCATTGCACAATTGTAAACACACACTGACTGACTGACTGACTGACCTCAGTTCTGTTCACTTCTCACACGCGAGTCCTCCTCACACACAAAACGAGAGAGTGATTTGGGCGGGAGTGGCTCAACTTTGCACGGCACGCATTTAATTTCATGCTTTTGTGCACATCGTTTGACCAAGTAATGAGGTACTAGTAGTAATAGTAGTGATCGATACACCACAAATCGATCAACTAACTGAGGTGAACAATTCACCATGCCATTTTGGTGATTAACAAACAAAAAAATAACAGCCCTAGAAAAATTGGAAACAGCTCTCAGGGGGCAGTGAATAAATCACCTGCATGATCAATCAGACCAAATAGATTCGCAAGTGTGGATAGTGATGCATTTTGAATGTTTGCTCACTGGGATTCCGGCAAATGTTAAAGGAACACGGAAGCGCATAGTTGCAAGCGTTCGGATCCGTCCAACCTGTGTGTACAGAACTGTGGCTCGAATAGACCGCCACAACCGTAACAACTGGTATGTGTAGGACAAGGATTCAGGGGAACAGAAACCTATGGCTCGTTTCATGAACTTAAAAGAAGGTTTCACTTCCCTTCATGAGGTTGGTAAATGATAAGCATCCTGGCCTACTGCATGCACACAGACTGCCGTGCGCACTAGTTAAATGTCAAAACAATGTAGCATTACCGAGGAGTTTTTTATCATGTATGATGAACAGCAGACGGAGTAAACCCCATATTCAACAAGACCTGCTGTTCAGTGATGGAAACCGATAACCTAAACCCCGGGACTTGGAGTGACGAGCCATATAAGGCCTCGCTAGATTAGACGTGGTATTGATCCGCACCGCAGCAAAGATGTCTGCTACCAAAGTTGGATGGTGTCAGAGGGGCTGGAACCATAGTACACCGGTGACAGCGTCTAAACACCTGCAGCACCACCACCACCTTCACCCAGGACAATCAAGCAAACGGACGCTGTATATCATGTAAACACAAGGCAAATTATTATCAACTGTATTGCTTTCATTACTGGCACTTACACGGGAATGTAATATCTTTTAGTGCTAACAGTGTGCACTAAATATTTTTTCTTCAAAAATCAAATGTGTATAGGAAGTCGGTGTTTGTTTGTGTCCTTGTCTGTCTGTCTGTAGCACCGTTTTTATAAAAAACGCTAGACGGGATGCACAATTTTTTTTCTTCTAGCTGTTACCTTCAAATACGACTGGAGGACACATTTGAGCGATGAAGTAGCCATCAATGTTGCATTATACAGTTCAACTTTTATTGTTCCAAAATTTCTAAACCTTCATATATCATTTGATCTTTTCAATTATAATCAAAGAACACATGTACAAGGCACAAACCAATATACTTTGATTTCTGCCGGTTTTCTGGACGCCGTGTGCACTTGGCTTACTCTGATACACCTCCATATTTCAGTCGGAACTGCTTGCGGTTGTTTTGCACACTGTCATTCTATTACCAGCGTTATAATTCCAGCAGGTGGTGCCCGGTGGGGGATAGCTGTTTATTGCAGGTTACAGTTCGGGCACCAATAATTAGGCATATATATAACAAGATATCTCATTTGAAACAAGTCATCATAATTCCTGGAAACACAGAGAGTAATGAATGAAAAAGTCTTTAGTTATTCTTTGGAGCACAGCAATTCGTTCCAAGTTGTGTTGTTTATCGTTTTACCATTGAAATAATCCGCCAATCACACTACTCACCATTGTGAGTAGTATCACACAACGCTAGCATGAATACATTGCTGCAATTTTTGATCAGAGCATTAGCAGAATGACTCCGAATACGTAATTCGCCAGTTCATACGATTGGTCAATCTGTCCCAGTTTGCAGTTTCATTCTTTTGTTAATTCTGGTAAAATTTAGGGTTGGGTAGTTTTCCTAATGCACTGCGGACCGATGAGAGAGAGAGGTCTGAAAGACCAATAGAAACTACGACATCATCCGTGCCCGGATTTTGTTGTCGAGGTAATTAGCGAGAATCAAATTTCTTCGCAGTACCAAAGAAAACGAATATTAAGATTTATACTACTAACCGTAAGATAGTAGTAGTTGCAGTAGGGAGAACAATACCTGAACACAACTCATTTCCACCGCGCTGCAGGTCGTTGCGCAAAGTTTACCATAGTCTTCAATTTTTTATTCGCTAACTGTTCCCGAGGTCAGTCCATACTTGGTACTTTTCCATAGCTTACTCCAGTCCGGTATGTAGTGATATGAATAGGGTTGAAGTTTTCCTTCGATTTTTCGCCTATTGAGAATAACAGCGTGGCGAACAACGTGTTCTGTGGGCCTAAAGAAACGATTTTCGTCTATTAACTAACGCACCAGCAGTGTTCACTTTGACAAATGGTCTGCGTGGCCCAATTTTGAAATGTGGTGCCATATTCGCTTTGTTCAATTAAGTGCGTAGGACTGGAAAGCCAACGAGTGTTTAATTCACGATTTATTGATACAGTGTAGTTAACTCCCCATTTCTAATTGATTTATTACATATTCCAACTCGATTTCACTTGCTGAGCACCCTACCTCAGAATGAAACGGAACGGCTTATCGACTTGACCCGACTCTTTGTAGTGATCCGAATTCGCAGAATGAACGAGTAGACCAATTTCTGGACATTTCATGTCATTTTAGTTGACAGATTAAAGTCTTATGTGTTGGAATGCAGCCGAGGCAAATGGAATTTTACAAGATAAAACAGCGTTTCACTTACTGATAGACCAATCTCCATCAGATAGAAAAGTTTTCTATCATACACCATTGTGTGTGTGTGTGTGCATGTGTGATACACCGCAGGACGAAACCATATAGCCACGAGGACTCACAGCGACTTAAGCCCTGGGGTTTGGAATAACGGTCACACGACTGCCCACCACGACAAATGTGCTACTACGCCACGGATAAGAAAAGCGCGGGCTAAACGAATATCTGTGAGAGATTGTCCTTAGGGCAAATCCACTTTTCCGTCCGAAATTCGAACCCCGGGACCCAATGTGTGGAAGATGTGTACGAGAGAGAGAGAGCGAGAGTATTATAAAAACCAGCTCACTCCATGACTGACCAGAATCACCAATTCAACTTTGTTCCGATATCGTCCACAGAAATGGTTCAACAAGTGTTCGAATCTCCAAATGAACATTCTAGACTGGGTTCAGTTTCCCTGTTCAGCACTAGTGATAAACTTCTAAGTGAATCAAACTCGAGTTTAGTGCTTCCCGAGGTTACGTGATTGACCTAGTGAACTGAGGGTTGTACGCGAAAGTGGAATCCGAAGAATCGTTTAACAGTCAACTGGGAGAAATTCCTTTCAGTGAGCACTACGGTTTCTGTGATAATAATATTGGTATTTTGATACCAGGTAAATAAATATGTGAGCCATCATACAGAACGCGCGAATATTTAGAGATCACTATAGACCAACTTGTGCCATGTACATTAGCCAATTTTAACACTAACTGTATGATTATCAGTGATGAAAAGATGATGACCGACAAAGAGCGCACTGGACAGCTGCTTCGTCCTGTTTTGGGCGACTTGTCAGTAGTGCATACTTTTTGTCTCCCTGTCAGTACCCGGACCGGAAACATTACGGTCGGGATTTCAAACCTCTAGCCCTGAACTAATAAACACCCTGAAGCAGTGGGGAATCAACTGTCTCTCAAAGAGTGAAACCCACATCCAGAGACCACAAACAGTGCCTAATGCCTATGAACAATGCAATGGATTATTCGAAATTAACCGCTATTATCTGTACTCATTTTTCTGTTAATTCATGCAATTCAGTCACGGAGCTGTCAGTCTGGTTCCTACCTCCTTGGTTATTTTTCCTCCTGACGAAAGAGGTTCTGAGCAGATAAATTTGAATCAATCCAATGAAGGATCTACACGGTTTGCCCGTCATTTGGGAAACCTTTTTCTCAATCGTGGATGAGAATTGTAGAACATAAAATAATGACAGCAACAACAACAACAACAACCATCTCAGATCGGGACAGACACCTAATATTAGACATATCGACTACCCCATTAGCCTAGGACACAAGCAGTGATGGAAAATCGTCAAAGAATGAGTATTTATTAGAGGCATAAGCATAAACCATATACGAGGAAGCTATCACGTGACTTTAGGTGTGTTTTAGGTCCCGTAGACTCGAATTATTTTACTCAAACCCGACAAACCATGATGGAACAGTTGTAGTTGTATCCAGTGCAGTCTCTAACATCCGTGCATGTATTCCTCGAATGAACACTGGACAAAAGTCAATAAACACAGACCGTTTTAATTTTTATAGTACAAATGACCCCAACGAGGAGGTTCCACGTCAATATCGTGAACAATAGAAAATAAAATCGACACAGGCGGACGATGGTGTATCAAGTACAGTTCCGTTATCACCAATCGCTAGAACCAATCCGGTAAGTTTATCATTGGTCAGACGTGGTAAACTCTTACTATTGGTGGTTTCAGTTGCAACTGTAGCGTCCATTGAGTATACTCAGTGCAGAGCACAATGGGTCAAACTGTTCTAACAGAAGTCATTGCATCAAGTGAAACACACACCACACAGCATCTTATCTTAACATTCACATTCTACTTACTGTTGTGGAAATGAAAGACGACGGGCAAGTGCCATTTCTTCACCGAATTGGGCATTTTGCAGTTTTCGTGACAGGCTTGAGTAGTAGTAGTAGTAGTAGTAGTAGTAGTAGTAGTAGTAGTAGTAGTAGTAGTAGTAGTAGTAGTAGTAGTAGTAGTAGTAGTAGTAGTAGTAGTAGTAGTAGTAGTAGTAGTAGTAGCAATAGTAGTAGTAGTAGTAGCTAGATCCAGTGGATGAATTGATCCGGAGAAAGTGGTACTGCTTTTTTCAGAGTACTCGTATGCCTGACTTTGTTCGACACACAGCAACGAAATTCCGTTGGCCTTTATTTCTCCAAAACTGTTATTGGCTTTCTGCTGGAGAGAGAGAGCTGTATTAACAATGCGACGGTCTGTTTTGTACGCGTTCGTGACTGTAGTGCAACAACGTGAGCCAAACCCGTTCCATCGTTTCATGATTTATCCATTTTTCGCGCCGTGTCACGTGCAATATGTAACACGCACACACACACACACACACACTCATACACAAAGAGTTGTGAAATATGAATTCATCTGTTTTCGGTTTATTATTGGTAGGGTTCGAAGCGGGGTTATTATGTGTGTGTGTTCTAACAACTTTACGAGGTTTGTTACGGGTTTGAAGGTGTGTCGTGCACGCGACTAACACACTAGGCCAGAGAATAAACATTTTGGCTTAGCATTGAGGAAGGGCTACTGCCGCCCCGCTCGCCTCCAGCGAGCCACCTCACACCCGTGCACAACCGTGACGAGTTTGATCTATGCGTCAGCCGTTGATCCCGAACCACATCACCATTGACAATTTGGTCTATACGTAATCACTCAGAGGTGTGTTGTTCGTTGTGCACGTGTGTGTGTGTGTGTTGTATAATCTGTGTCTGTATGCGTATGCGTATACGCGTCACAGAGGGAATCATTTTCCAGACCCGTTGGATGGGGGGGGACATGGAGAAGGAAATCCACAGTGAGAAAGATCACCGCGTGTGCATTGTTCAAATCGGCTTCGCCAAAATCATCCTCAACCCCGTCAGGTGCACTTTAACGACAAACTTTCGGTAGTTACATGTTACGCATGGAATAGCTAATCAACCGAGATGGATGCATTCTGACGTCGGTATGCAAATCGAATTTGAGTAGACAAGGCTCGTGAGTGAGTGAGTGCACGCATTCGCCCCCGGGATTGGTTAGCACACGCAGGAATTCCTTGGGAGTCATAACTGAAGATTTCTATCGAAAAACCAGCTGAAATATCCTCCCATCAGGTGCGTGAGTTGATTGAATAATCCAGGAGCTCTAAACTTGGGCAGTCTGTCATTTGTTGCATGCAGCATTTAATTCCGTTTCAAAAAAGAAAGTCCTCGTGCNCTCGTGCACAGTGCGAAAGAGGCGTGAAGTGAAAAGCCAGGGAGCACTGGACGGTTGTTTCGACCTGATTCAGTCTCATCAGCACAGTGCTCGAATCCACCGACTCAACTGGGGATCGCAAACCCGGGACCTCATGGGCAGAACGCAATTATGCTACGGACGAATTCCTTCTTTGGAATCGATCACTGGCTCATGTAGACACAGATATTACGTGGATGATATTTTTGTTTTATCGCGGGAGGACAGCCCATTGGCAATGCTATTGAGTAAATTCAATGAGGCGCACGCAGCGATTATTTTACATCAGAAGCTGAATCTGGGGAGATACATTCCATTTTCCCGATGTGAATCTCACGCGACCTAGTGATGGTCAACTGGACAGAAGTCTATATCACAAGTCAGCATGGATCGGATACTATGTCCCCTTTGCAAGCTTTGTATCACTGAAAAGTAAACGAAACCTTGTCCGTTCCCTCACAGCCCATGTGAGAAACGCACAATCCTTACTTCATCGATCCAACCATACACTCGGAAGCACTAGGCGCGAGTTTCGCTCTTATCGGAGCTCATCGGTGTTACATATCCACCATCCCGTCCGGGATTTGAACTCCGGACCCATCGCATGGAAGACGACACCTGAATAAACATGAATTGGCAATTTGCTTCAGTCATGGTATGAGTTGATTGGCGCAGTGGTAACATACGCCTTCCACGCAATGAATTCGGAGTTCAAATCCACCGTCCCGGTGGATATGCACAACTGATGAGCTCTAATAAGTGCGAAACTCGAGTCTATAATGCTTCCGAGTGTATGGTTGAATCGATGAACTAAGGATTGTGCGTGAAAGTGAAGTTCGAAGGATAATCAGCTTAAATTAATAAAAATCTATTATCCCACACCACTACTCACAAGTAACTGTGAGTTAAATGCTAGAAACATTGGCACCAAACTAAGCTGCGTTCCGGGACTGGAAAGCATAAAACAAACACATCTAACCGTTACCCGGAACGGTTTATTCAGAAAAAAAACCAATCCGAGACACCCAAGGGACCGCCCCCACCCTCGGGTGATAACTGTGAACAGAGAAGACCTGTTCATGCGCCTTCCTTTCAAACGGGATTATAAAAGTGAAATAATCGTCAGACATTTGGAAAGAGCAATCACATGCACATTTCCGGTAGCTCGTTTTCCCCCTCCTGCATTTCACCGATCAACCGATTATTTCCATCAACCTCAAGGACTATAGCTCCATCTTCTGCACGATCAAGGAACACAAACCAGCCTGACTGGCTTCCGCGGGGCTGGAAAACTATATCCAGTGCTACTATGGAACATCTCGTAAATACGGGACTTACTGTGAGTGAAGATGCCTTCAAGATGATCTACCGAATGCTTCCTTAGCCATTAAATATTTTGCAACGGTTGAGGCAGTGGCCATTCGTCTGTTCAATCTGTCACTTTGTTCCCGTGAGCGATTTGTCAAAGCACTTCACCCACCATAACCCCGATGTTACTCCAGTCCCAGGACTGGAGATGACCTTTTCTATGACCCCGTGACCCGAACAGTTAATGGTCAACCTTGACTTGGCTCTAATCCTCCTGTGCCCCATCCCTATTCCCATCCAACCAACACTCATCTTTTGTTAGTAAACCACACACAACCAACGAATTCTATCTACCAATAAAATCCTCACATACAGGTCTAATCCATCCAAACGTTTCTAATGTCTCTTTACAGTATCACACTCTTCCCATCTGAACGGGTATCGAATGGTTCCGAACCAGTACCCCGGGTAAACTGTATTAAATACCTGGGCGTTTTTATTGATGCTAATCTTCACTGGACCTCTCACATTCAACACATCGTCAGTAAGCTTCGACGACTTTCTTTTCATATTCGTAAACTTCGTCAGTTTCGTATTCCTTAATCAAGTATTTTCAAATTTGTGTATCAGTGTGTTTTCCCTGTTTTGCTTTATTGTTCACCTGTTATTTCACCCAACCTCCTTAAGAAATATTTTAATTTGCTTCGACGTGGATTGACCATCATTAGCTGTGTCTCTTCAATCCCACTAAAGAAGTTGATAACCAACCTATGCGAACGTCATTTGAATACATGTGAAAAGTTTACGCATAAGATTCTCATCGACTCTATACATCCGCTACACGCTGACCTGACTTCCTGTTGTTCCCATCCCTCAACTAGATCACAATATCGTTATGTTCCCTCTAGAATAAACATTTATCGTAACTCCACAGTACCCTCATTAGCATGTATTCTTGTTAACAAAGAACAGGTATTCGCAGAATTTGTTAACAGTTTTGGGATTTTAATCTCTTTTTTCATTGTTATTTTCATTTTCTCCCTTGCTCCAAACTGTTTACTTTTTTAACTAAAATGTGGGCTTCATGCTTGCAGAAGTTAATACAATACACTACAATACAATACAATACAAAACTGAAGCAACGGGTCCCTCTGAAACATTTGTGGATCCGTATAGGCAATAACGTTTATACTGAAGTAAATTTTTTTTTATACTAGGTAAAGTTTGCAGATTTCATGTTGAAATCATTTAATCTTGGTAACCAAGGCCAGGCACATTTAATGAACAATCACGCAGCTCAGAAGCTACGTAGATCAAAGTAGACAAGATATAAATTATTTCCTATACCAATGTCAAAGTCAAAGTTTTATTATGGGACTAACTTACAAGCTCGCGCTTCCCTTGTCCCCATAGGATATTTACACAGATGAATCGTTACACGCCGAAAAAGGAGTCACATAGAGTTCCGGGTAGGAGATAATAGAGAATGTAGGGTACAGTGAATTTCCGTTTGCTTTTAGTGGTGTACAAATGTGAGGTGTGCCAAGGTTTCGTCGAGTCTCTGCTTGAAAGATTCAATAGTGGGTGCACAAACGACATGGTATGGAAGATCTGCATACTGACAGCAAAAAAACTGACGCCGGCAATCCAGTCGACACTTGGGAATCAGTAGTTTGAGACGGTTAATATAGGTGATAAATGTAATGAAATTCCATTTGATCATAGAGAAAATATTTTAGTGCATCACAGTCAGCCAGTACTGTACATTAAATGTTATACCAATATGCTATGCCTATCACTTATTTATATAACTGCAATAGCCAGACGAGGAAGGTTTGAAAAACGAGCTTTTTTGCACTATTTCGTGTTTTCTGTGATATAAATGAGTTGCTATGTTTCTCTGTTGTTCCGCTTACCTCCCCCCCCCCACGGGCAAAAGAAGTGATCCCTCATAAATGAGAAAAAACTTGAATAAAATAAAAGTAATTATTGTATTAATTGAACATGCCAAGCCAGAAAACTGCATTCACTATTGTGAATTTGAATTTGGGAATTATTAGTCCTGATTGTTTGCTCCGATCGATCTCTCTAAACTGAATGAGATTTTTTCCTTAAACGGATCTGCTTTGAACACGTACCTTACCTTACGTCATTCTTACGTCAGAACTCTAGTTGCTGTGCAAATTTTGAACTACTAATCTGTTATTAGCACGCATAACCTCACAATACTTTTTCAGATAATCTCAATCACATTCGGAAAAGGATGATGAGCCTCACAACGGATAACTAATTCACCCAATTCGATTACTTTTTAAATACACAGATTGGTTTGAGCATTCTATAGGTGAACGGATTCTCTTTGTATGTTAACAGTCAGACTGCACGCATAAAGCAACATATGAAACGCAAATATCGTGTGTGTGTGTGTGTGTGTGTGAGTGTGTGTGTGTGAAAATGTTCACGAGTAAGGACAACAGAAAGGAACGACGAATAGCCCATTTATCGTGCGAGTGAATTTCATCCCCTACCGGAAATCATTGCGAGAAAACGTGAACTGACACTCAAAAGCTGTGCGATTCATTCCATAAATTCAGTCACAAAGTCTACTGAACAGTTTCGATTTCTATGCCGAAAATGCCATCAATGTACAGTTTATAGGAGAGCCAAGCAAAACGTTTTCGGCCTAGGCAGTACACGACGAGTACGAGAAGCACACAGATGACTGACCGGGGGTAGGGAAAACGTGAAATGTTATCTACTACTGTGAACAATTTTCAGTAGTTGCAACTCACACAGAACCAAATATCAATCACAATTCATACTAGGTTCACTATATACTCCAAACTGTCGTAAGGATGAAACTCAGTCGATGACACTGTAGAGGATGATGATTTTCTACGAATATAAATGTGATTTAAAATAGCAATAGTAGTCGAGTGCTGATTGTTTATGAGCTTCCCTTGGTGAGAACGCAGCTTCAAGAAGCACTATGTTCCAAAATGTCAAGTGCATGATGACGACGATGCGTGGAATCCGCTCCGATTGATATGACTGAGTGCCGCAAACAGTGACACACGTGCTCCTACTCACTATACTTTCAATCCCAGTCTATCAATATAAACTCTCTATCTTCTCTCTGGCTCAGCTCTGAACACTTCAGTTTTCATTCTGCTCTTTTATCCAAATGGGCAACCAAAAGATAGCATCCAAAACGGGCTGCACAAATGCATCGTTAATGATTGTAAAACTAAATGCTAAAAGATGATATTAACGATGAAAGCTCTGCAGGACAGACTTTCGATTCCCAGACCATAAAAGGTTGTTGTGCACGTAAGTGGACCCGATCACATCGTTAGATGTTCCGGTGATTGTCTGGTTGTTAAATTGTCGAGGAGAAAAGATGTGCTTTTGCAATTCATCAAGTGCTATAACTCTTGGGGAGGGGAGGGGGAGGTACAAAGGTGCATTGATTATCTTTAATCATCTAATTTGTTCCCGTGAGCTATTAGGCCAG